GAGTTGCCACACACAACTTGACATCATCTGTCCGCTCTACCAGTCGCAGCCAGCCATGCACGCCTTTGAGAAATCCTCCCAAGAACAGCGGAATGCTTTCCACAATCTCTTGTACCGACGCCCTGGTAACTAACACTTGCTGCAATAGTTGCCTGTTTAGGTTTTTCTGGCTATCGAGCAAAGACTGGAGCAAGTTTCAAAGGTTGTCCGAAGACCATCGTCCATCGGGATGGTCTGATTCCTCAGGCGTCGTGCCTCATCTTCAGCTCACCGCCGGCTAGCATCCATAGTCTCTTCTTCCTTTCTTTTCCCTCGAGTTCCCCTGTTCACAAAGTTGATCCCACCGCTGTCATCAATAAACGCAATCGGTCGGGGTTGCTAGCAAACAGGATGCGGAACCTAGTCACAAAGCTTTACTAGCAAACACAGCGCATACACAAATAGCAACTATTTACACGAGATATCATAACGCTCTATATCGATATAAAGATCACTATTCTTTGAACCGGAACCGGTCCTTATACGCATTGCAAATTTTTTGTTCATCCTCGAGGATCAGTCTGCTTTGACCTGCTGATAACACTTACTTGCGCGTCTTTGTCTTGCTGCGTGTGGAGGGCGAGCGCTTCCTTTTTTGTTTGGCGAACGTTTCCAGTTCTTTGTAGGACATAAGCTTGTCATTATGTTCGCCTCAGTTTCCGGTGGTGCACGGGTAGGGGGGGGGCACATCCGATTGCCTCCGCCTCGTAACCGCCGGTCATCACTGCCTGCTGTGCTCTCATGCTCTATTCAAAAAAATACTGCCATGACAAATAGTTGGTTATTGTTAAATGATTAAGTCGATTCCTCTAAGGAAGCTGTCATTTTGGTTTCAATTTCTGATGTTATCTATCTAGCATTGTCGAGAACTACCGTCCTCCGTACTCATGAGACTTCGTTTTCTATTCTTTCAGTAGACGGTGCAACGAAGGTTAAAGGTTTCATGACGCTATTTTGGGCAATTAATATGGTGTCTGACTCGAATTTCTTCTGTCTGGAACTGTAGCCATGAAATCCATATTAGGGAATGATTCATCTTAAACCACAAAGAGGTATATTAATTTTTGTTACAGTTTGACTTACTGATTTGCAAGTCGGCTGTTTCAGATATCATGACGAAATTTTACTTAAAACTGATGGAAATGCTCTTCGCCGTAGTGCGCCGCAGATGCAACTTTTAATTTCTTAGTTTGGTCATTGTGTAATGTTCGCGACGTAGGGGGAACACATTGACTATGTAAGCATTCAAATTAAAAAATATAGTCGAATGATGAACAATTCACCTAAACGTAACATATTCCGTTGCTGTCTTAGCAACGGATTACGTTCTACGGCTGTAATGTTTCACATTTGAATCAGGATAGCAAACGGACAACTTCTTCGCATTGCTGAGGAAATGGAGGAAAAACTCTGTCTTCCAAATTACGCGTTACATGCTAACTGCGATTAATGCCATTCACTCGATGAACAGTACACTCTGTGCGAATCGCCTCGCTGTGATTGACACGTCTCTTGTTTCTTCGTTTTAGAAAATAAATCAGAGTGGGTATGTATGCGCTATCCATTCATTACAGTTTCGACCTATCCGAGTGGCATATCCTTGTATTCCTTCCCCACCTTTCCTTACTGTTTGTTGGTCATAAGTAGCTTCCTTAAGATTCTGTTCAATTAGCAGAACGTCTCCGCCGTTTTGCTGCAGAAACTACGGGATGAGCGACGAGAATGGTACGTGTAAATGCTTAGTAGCCGACCTTGCCTGCGCTACTTTTAGATTTCGTTATCTGCCCTCCAACAGAAACGTCAATGCAGTCTCTGGCAATCTTGAGTCTTGTAGTGATATTATACTGCATATTGAAAATTTAGTTTAACCTTAGTGTAACTGGCAGCATAAATCAAAGGCACAGAATAATTGTAGCCAATTATAATAAATAGTAGTTGGACACCCATATGCACTTCTCTCAAATGATACCGCATACCTGTTGACTATGTGTTCACTGAGTAACATTACTGCCTGCTGTACGAGACGAGGATAACACGGAACAGATACTGCTTTTGACTAATATTTTCTCTTCAGCTTATTCGCCATGTCAAATACGATTAAAGTGACTGTCGCCTTTACGCTCCGTCCACTTCAAAGACTTCGTTGAAAGCCATTTATAAATAGCTGCTCACCGATACATCATTTTCTGCACTTTTAATTTAAGCATGGTCGTTAGAAACAAGTCAGCTACAGCACTCAAACTTATTATCGCTTGAAAACCATAAAATCAATTATTCTAGGTCAAATTGAGTGAAACGAATAACAACTCGCACTGAACTCCCTTGCCGAAGATCTATCAGCTTTCTCGTTTCGCAGTAATAGGCCAGAAAGTTTTCTCATTACTCACTTTCCCGAAACGTCCGAAGCAGGGATACTATGATTGCTTGATTTTGGCTCATCACTTATGAAGTCTAAGAACTGACACACTTATTTCTTGGACACGTACACTTCTTCAATTATATTACTCACAGAGGCGGATAATGTAGATTGGCCGTATTCAGTTGAAACGTAAAACCATGATCAAGAGAGCCAATCATGTCTAAATGCTTAACATCAACCTGACATATATGAACATAGCGGTCTTGCAAAATTTTCTAATTTGATAAAGCAGAGCAAAAAGAAAACCAAAGAAACCGTGTAGCCGCTGGAATGTCAGTCGTCTTTACATTTTCATTATGGGATCATTATGGCCTCGTTCTTGTCAGAGTTCATAGTGGGGGTGATCATTTCTATATTCAGGAGTACCTAATTTAAGGCAGTCATGTAGCGTATCGTGCATTTCCTAGTTTCTTTCCCATAGAGTGCTACTCGTTTATCGATTTTGAAAGATAGGAAGGTGAGTGACTCTGGCCAGCGCTCACGCTGTGGATCTGTCAGTTCCAAGTTCGACGCTCCACCAATTATATAGCCTCGGTCCAAAGCAATGCGTAAAATTCTTTGTTCAAGGGAATTCGTGAATAAGACAATGACTATCTTCAACCGGAGTCGAATCAGGCACCTCCGAAGTCAAAAGCAGATCTCTTAAGCACAGTGCCAAAGATCGCCGCAGCGTAAAGCAAAAAAGGATTATGATTCGAAGAAATTCGTCTTGGTAAAAGTACTGAGTTACGGAGAAAGGTTGTTGTTAACAATTATTTATTATCAGTTATTGTCAATAGCAATGAATACGACAGACCGTATTAATTCTTCAACCTTAGCAAATGTCTCTTCAACATTCGCATGTTTAGTAACTGAAAGAGATTACTGGTAACATAAATGTTTCTGGCTTTTTGCACTTTCTTATACGAGGAGTAACTTCTGAACTGACAAGCAGACGTTACTCCTCAGCCTAATTGGCACATTTTGTAGCATCACTTTATTGACCTCTATTCGTTTCAGCTTGCCCTGTTTGATCATGTTCTTTTTTACAGTCGGTCTCACGTTTTTTGTCAAATGTGAATTAACCGATTATAAACATGTTTGACGCATCCTTAGCTTGCAAAAATTCTCTCAGTCATTCTAAATATTTCTTCACAGCCTCTGAAAGAGCGCATTTGCACTCTAAATTTTTCATTGTGATCTGAATCCCAGTTATCCTTAGAACTCTCCTTAATCTGTTTTATTACTTCGTCAGTTTATCCACACAATAGAACCTGCATCCTGAGGTCATGCGTCAAAGTTGTTCCATAGTAATGAATTTACCAAACGTTGCTAAGTCAGTATAGAGTCTGGCTTAGAACCGAGAAGTCCCGACTTTGAGCTACGGTCAGGGTAACTCTCTCGAGGTTCCTTTTTCCATGCTGATACATGAGCATCACCATACGGGAAGGAAACTGGAGACTACACACAATGTTTGCCATATCGCTGCTGTCGCCTCTGCCTTTAAAATGTAAGGAAATTCTGGCTGATGGCATGGGAATGGAGATCAGTTCCACAGCATTAATTTCATGATTTTATAGGATCAGAAATGACCCCGTCATGAAAGTATAAAGAAGACAGATATTTCAATAATTATAATGTTACCTTTCCCTTTCTTTCTTCATTCTCTAGCACATTCCTAATCAGCGTATTTAATTTAAGTGCAAACAGAAATCTTAAGGCAGGATGCTTATAGACACCTTTAGCCAACAAGCCAATTATGCTAGCGATGCGCAACTGTTAAATACGCACCTCATATCACATGACCTGCAAGACGAAGACCAGTGCCAAAGCTTTATCGTGTCCATATCATGATACCGCAATACATCGTGATATCAGTCATTTGCGCGTTTTTTGTCCGTTTGCACAGTAATGCAATGCGATAAAGTTGCAGCTCATTTGAATCATCAGTTCGTATAAAAAAATCCATAAAGGGATTCAACTAGAAGCGTACAAGGCTGGGGCTGCATCGCTGATCCATGTTATTCCGTACAATCAGAAGAAATTTTCTTCGATCCTTCCTTTGTTCGTTAATCGGTGTGTATTTCCTGCAGCTGCAACTGGCTTCGCTTTGTGGCATCCAAACGCAAGAGTATTTTTTATTCATTAAGCCCTTTTTCAAGTCTAAGAATACATCCTATAGGCATCTGCATCACTACCTAGCAGATTATGTTACAAAGCGTAATTCGTTGAATGGTTGTACTATTAAGATGGCAGGGGTGTTTGTGATTTGAGACATGTTACAGATTCCCGACATGAAATAGAAAGGAAGCTACATGATCGTTTTCCGCTTAGCAATCGTTGCGCTGTCTTTTGCCGATCGGCCGTCGGGAAGAGCTTAATGGCG